TGGGAGGGAGCGGGCCCCCCCCCGCCCCCAGCAGCCAAGGGAGCGCTGCGGCTTCTGCTTTCAGGCCACCCTGGCATTTCTAAAACCTGACAAGCAGGAAAAAGAATTGCTTTTGGGGCCCGATGGACTGAGGGAAGCCGGGTCCTTAGGAGTCCGCTGGCTGACTCCTCCCGGGAGCCGGAGGGGAGGAGGTTGGTTAAAGTGGCTGCTCCCCGGGGTCACGCTACGCCACGGCCGCTTGTGCCAGCAAGCCAAAAGCTGTCTGATGCAAACATGGCTTTTGTTTCCCAGGGAGCTGCTCTTGTGTTTGCTGGTCTCCTCTCCCCAGTGGCATAGAGATTTCAGCCCGGGCTGGCGCCAGGGGCTGAGAAATGAGAGCACTATGAACAGTGACCCATATGGTGTTCATGAGGTCCCCAGAAACATTGATAGAGCTCCACTGAAAAAAATGATCTGCAGATCACACAGTGTGTTTATTATTTCCCCTGCCCTATCTCTTAGAACACTGATTTATCTTACCTGCATGCAAATAATATGATGTGATGACAACTCCATAAAAGTTTCATCGTCTCTTATTTAGCATCTGGGAAATTTCATGTGTCTCTGCCACTGCTAAGCTATTACTATTTTACCTTTCCAGAAATGAGTTAAAGCATGATTCCTAAAAGAGGAGAGAGATCATTTATTTCTATGTAGATTCACTTTACAGCTCCTGTATTCCAGATAAAACCCTGTTGGCTCTCACAGTTTTACCTCAAAATCTCTGCAGGACTTGAAACCCAGGGTCATTCAACTTTATTGTGACGCAGCAGCTCTCTTTAGCAGTCAGCTTTCATTTACCTCAGCAGGATTAACTGAATCCATTATTTCCAGCTAACATTCAGTGGCCCTCCTTGATCCTTTGTACACCTCTGGATTTGCATTAAGTTAATTAAAAAAAAAAAAAAACAACCTCCAAACAAACAAACAACAAAACAAAAACCCAAACCCAAACCACCTCTGCAAGTCCAGGACGCGTTTCCCTCTTTCCCAGATCTGCCGCAGTGAGTGAATGTGTCAGGGACACTTTGGCAAAGCAGATTCTTGGGCTGGACAGGGCAGCAAGGGAAAACGTCGGCTCCGTCGCTTCCTTCTCCGTCCCGTTACCCCGCAGTTCAGAGAAACCCTCTCCCTACAGCTCCTGCTCGCGCCCCGCGCACCAGAGGGTCTGACGCTGCTGTGGGGACAGTTCCCAGCTTCATGGGGAGCAGGGCCGATCCAGGTCCTTCCTCCGGTTGTCTGTTGCCTGTGTTTCTTCTGCAGGTTCCCTTTTACCCCTCAGAACCAGAAGGGTTTGAAAATAACGGAGTCAGACAACAAAGCCTTGCTGCTGGTTTTCTTTTTCCCTGGTCTGCTGGCTAATTCACCCACCGACCTGACGCGATGCTTCCTCGTGCCTTCATCCAAAGCAAAGACGTTTCGAGTCCCTCTTTATCCTCTCAGAGCACCAAATCCATCGACGAGCGCACGGCCGGTGGCTCTTGGCCGCCCTTACTTCACTTCCAGGATGGAGGGATTCGTCTCCATGATGGCCACGATGATCCTGTCGATGTAATCCTGCAGGCGGAAGTTGATCTCCTCTTGCTTCTGAATCGCTTCCATGAGCTGCAAGGTGGGGAGACAGGGAGTGAGCGTGGCTTCTCGTGGCTCTGTGCACCCACGGAATTCCCCCCCCTGCTCCTTCATTCTGGCTTGGGCTGTTCCTGGCCACATCCAAGTCTTTCACGACCGCCAGGGACCAGACGGTTCGGCAGTGACTCCTGCAGGCTCCCTAACACCCGGCTGAAGTCCCTGCTCCTGCCCCGTGGGATGCCCTTACCCGCCATGGGTCTCCCCTGACAGATGCTCCTGCATCCCCAGGT